ACATCCTCTTCAGGCTTGGGGGTGTATGGTCCTCAAGAGTCCTTAAGCCGTTCCAGCCGTCGCACCGTTCCAGCCGTTCCCTCCACCCGCTGGTCCTTCCGGCTCCCCGACGCGTCGGGGAAGTTCCTTCGCAGCTCGTCTTCCACCTCCTCGGCGTCGAAGGAACACGTGGGGCGTCGTTTTTGTCGTCGAAGATGCAACACGGCAAACGGCAAAAGCCATTTGACCACCATGTCGGTCATCACAGAAAACATGTTTACTTTTGGGTGACCTGAAATCATTCATCCAACAAGCCGTCCTATGTTCTACGAAGTTTAAAAAACCGAAAACATGGAGGCCAAAGACATCGGTCATCATCGGTCCCTCAGTCCTGTGAGAATGGACGCCACTCCAGGCCAAAGAAGGCCAACAAGGCATCTGCCCTCAGAGATCGCCGCGATCGCCGATGATGGGCTCAAAGAGAAAGAGCGAGAGGGAGAGAAAAACAAAAAAACATCTGCTCTGACTTCATCGTTCGCAGTCCGGAGCCAATGGTTTCATAATGACTTCGACTTTCCTCACAGGTGGCGCTCGCTCGCTCACCCCGTGACTTCCGGGCGCCGGCGTGGGCCACGTCGTGGAGGTGAAAACGAGGTGGTGGACGCTTGTTCAACCCATGTGTGGGGGCTAGGGGTTATATGTTCAAGAGCCTACATTCGTATTAGTGGTATAGCTGTATGAATCATGCGTGACAAAACTTGGCAGACCAACGGCAACGTGGCTGCTCTTTTGGTGCTTTTGTCAAGGCCCAAACCATATATATATATAATCTCTTGATTCAGGTTGGGACATGTTTGTCGGGTGGATGGATATGGAACGGTCTGAACGGTGGATTCCAGGGCGAAGGATGATCCCTTCAAGTAAATACAGGAAAACAAGCAGTTTTGTCTCCATAAATTGCTTTGTCACAGAACTTCTGAGAGAAGACAATACATGTATATATAAATGTATTTTTTCAATATTTAAATATATAAGTGTATTTATATATTTTAAATACAGTATTTTCTATGAAGCAATGTCACTCTAAATCACTCAAAAGCTTCGATCCTTTTGCACCGCGCTTTCAACGCAGCATTCTGCGCAAAAAAACCGCGCAGACTTCGCTGGCACGAAGTGCCGGTGTTCCGTTTCAAACGAACCACAATCCTTGATACTTGAACGAGGAATAATGACTAATTACGCAGCAGTCATGTGCATACATGGGTTGTGATAAGAGTGATGCTTTCGATTGCACTGTACTAAATGCTCACCTGCTACGAGCTCCAAGTAAATCCTTATATCTCCATGGCACAGCTTCTCTCGAACATGCAGCCAACAATGCTGTGATTCCGTGGCTCAGATGCAAAACCATCAATCTCGTTTGGGTTTCTATGTGTTCAACTGTCTCGGCCGCTCAAACCCTCCTGGTCAGTTTCGGAACAGGGGCAGAAACAAAACAACGGTATATGGTTAACTTTAGCGTGGACAAAATAAAGGAACATGTTACTTCCACTGAAAAAGGAGGACGGAAGTGATTGTATGATTCAGTCATTTATATACGGCAAGTAGTTGGTCGGGATGAGTTTTGTGGTCCACACAAATGAATGAAACTCACTGAACACCTTGAGCAAACCAACAAACCAAGAGCTGCAGTGTCTGATCGTCTGGTCCCGGCATGGCCCCGGCCTTTCCCGGCAGACAGAGCAACAGGCTGTCGTTTGTTGTGTTCTTCCCCGCGTCTGGCCATGTTTTTGCTGAGAAGAGTGAACCTCCCTTGCTTGTCATCTTTTGGGAATGTCACGAGATAAGGGAATGCGAGAACGCCCCTAATTCTGTGGGAAATCAGGGAATCCCTCTCCGACCGCCGCCCGTCATCTTCGAAAGCCCCATCGACTCCTGTTCAATCCATTGCCTGGCGATCCAAATGCACCTCTTTTTGTGCAAATACGTTTGGTATTCGCCCGCCTGGGCAATTCTTGTGTTTTGCCTGATGCAATCTTGGTGACATCTGCGACTTCAAGTAAGTGGTTTTTGATCCTTTGGTGCTTTTGCATGACCTGAAAGTCTCAAATGGCCTGTTGGAGGGTCCAGGTATATATGTGTAAATTTGCAAATGTAGACAACCAACTACGATGAACCCGGATCCTCCTTAGTAGTCCATTCGATTCTGTTCATTTTTAGTGGTGCGCCCAGGTAGCCCGTTTTTGACTCACAGCCATGTACATAAACCAACTCTCTAAAGGAAGATATCTAAACTCATCTGAGTATTTAGGGAAAACTATGGAAAACAACTAAACGGTTGTTGTAGGTAGTACCCCCACGCTGTTTCGGCCTATCCCGGACCCCCCCACGGACTGGACACCCGTTCGATACATTGGTCCGATAGGCGGTGCATGGTCTACTCGCTTCCGCCACGACTGGAAGCGGGAAGCCGAAACCCACCTCCAGCGGAAAGCGTGGCTTGAGCGAAAGCGTGCCGGTTCGCTAAACGAAGTGGTAGCAGAATAGAGCCAAATCGGCTGGTTCTGGAACATGTATATACTTAAACTTGCTATGGGTTCTAAACTTTTAAGTTAGCAATTGACTGAATGGAATTGAGTTTATTGTTCCATGCATGTTAAACTTTATGAACCGAGGCCCTAGAAAATGGAAGATTATCCTAAACAAGAAGCAGGTACTCTGCAAGTAGTGTCGAAGACACTGGAAGCACTGGAAGCTGATCGTTTTTGCTTAGTGAATTAACCACTTAGTGCTCCTGCTCAGGACCAGCTCAGGACTACCAGACTGTTGATGGACAGTTGTTATCCACCTGGAAGCCGAACAGCTGATCTCATTCTTGTTCCTGGCGGAACGATTCGAGGGTCATAGCTTCGGATCTGCCATCGCCTCTGCCGTCGACGTGCCATCTGGCTCCCCTCGGTGGCAACATGTGACCATCCAAATGGGTCTAGGTCCCGACCCGTTCGCCACGGGCGCACTGCTCTTTGTCAGAACCTCGTTGAAGGCGGTCCATGTCGGAAGATGGACTTGAAAAGTGGTCCATGTCTTCTCAAACTCAGAAGCTCACAAAACTGGCTCCCAAGCCGCTTGACGTGAAAGAAACAAGTTGACATGGGTAGGAAAACAGATCTGGCGAATGGGTCTCAGTCAGTTCACATGTCCAAAGCCCTGTCGTCCTGTTTCCTTCGAATTGACATGTTGCCGTCCTGGCGTGACGCCGTGACCTACCACAGAGAGTTTCCAGCTTCCAATGGGGAGGCACGATCATTATGTTACACGAGTATGGCTGAAACGTAGATGCCAGGTCTCTTAGTTGGTTTCAAACGTGTTGCCATGTTTCAGTCGTGAACTATAAGGCCCCAAAAGTACCACGCCGTCCACTCGGCTACATATTCTTCTCACAGAACTGCCACTCGGCCGTTTCGACCGTTTCTATTGGTCCAATGATGTCAACCTAAGCAGTTTCAACACAATTGACAAGTTGCGGCTGCCAATGGTAGTTTCGCTGCATGTCCCTCAACATGACACATTCAATCACTCTGGTGTCAACACAAAAGCCTTTTCACGAAATCCCAAACACTCCATGTATGCATGGCTTAAAATGACCTAATTGACGTTAGGGTGCTTGAAAATCAGAGCGTCCCATTTTCGCTCGCGTACGGAAGCCACGTCCCGCCACGTCGTGTCCGAGGATGTGGCCGTTGGGAACTTGTGAGCTTGCGAGGACCCCCAACTTGAAAAAATAGGATCTCGCTCAGCTGGCTTGCGAGGACGGCCAAAGCGGGCCGGCTAAAGCAAACGCTTTAGTGCGCTCGCTTGCTGTCGGACACCTGCTAGCGTTTTTTGCGGGTGGCTGTAGACTCAAGAGTGGCTGGTATGAGATGGTTAGTGGCTTAGTAAACATCTTTGTAGCTTCTCACAAGAGAAACAACAGGATAGGAGGCTGCAAGAAAAAATAATAAACAACTATATAAGTGCTTTGAGACTTTGAGGACATTCCATGAGTTTTCCCTATTCTCCCCTCTTTCATCCATCTGCTTCAGTGGACATGGAGCATGTTCACTTCCACCTTGGGCGCACAGCTCATCTTTTCTTGCAGCAAGGCAAACAAAAACACCGCAAATTGTTCTAGACTTGACCCTCTCTAGAAGACTCTAGACCTTGACAAAGGCAATGTAGAACATGTTTACCAAGTTCTTGCACTTGTCCTGCATCCTCCAATTTACTGTTTTTGTTGGTCCTTTGAACACTTTGATCAACAAGCATTGGAATGAACTTCCAGCTCTGAACCTAAAGAAGTGACTAGTTTCCAGACCTCACCGGCGGGCATTGGCGGGCAATGCGAGCTGAGCGACACCTTCAGTGGACGCCTTCAACAGATTGGTTGTGAGATGACACGGTCGCAAAGTATCAAAAAAAGGCCCGACTCCAGCATGATGCGTGGAATGTGTGGCCAGGGACGATCGAATGATTGGCTGCGGGTCCGGCAGTGAGGATGATAGCACTCAAAGCATCCAGCAGCTACCTGACACTGATGGACCCCCTGGCGAATCCAAGTCTGATATCCAAACCTGTAGGCTGTGGGCTTGAAAGACCTTCAAAGAATCCTCCGCATGAATGCAACCACAAACCCCACCCAAAACCTAGTAACCCTAACGCTCCAACCATCTCCTTAGAAGGTGCTCAGGAGTCCACGGCCCGACCTTGTCAGAAAATGGATGCAAGGCCCGACCAGGCGCGCCCTGTCGACAGAACAAGGGGCGGTACTTCTACTTCCCGGTGGTGTTTCCTGGTGTTTGGTCATGTTTGCTCCACAAGCATGGCTTGGATAGGAGACCCTTAAAGCTCATTTTTTCCAATGATGATGATGGTGGTGACGACGACCATGCCCGGGTTTTACTTCGCCACAACCGAGACAACATGCCGTGGGTTCTGGAAGTCCGTCTGACTTATTGTATTAATAAACATTGCTAAACAAATCCCAAAGCTGGACACCGCTTGAGGACTCAAAGAGCATCGGCCAAATTGCCTGGATCTTTTGGGGGGTTGCCACTTGATCTTTTCTCTTGAGCCATTTTTCCGCAGCGCAAATCGATGCCCCGTGGGGGGGTTGAGTGTCACAAAACGTTCGACGTCACATCTCTTCACTGTCACTGCCAATCATGGGGTGCCGATCGTCATAGTTCAAGGCCCGCTTGAAGGATGTTTGCGTATTGGCCAACCTCGGCGAGCTTCCATCCGAAGACACCACCCGGCAGAACCCATGGGACAGTCGCATTTACCCTTAAGCTGGGGCAGTTTATGCAAGCTTCAGGGGTCAACGTAGGCATATATTCCATAGTTTTTCATCAAAAGAACAAGATGTTGTCTTGACCAACCTGGTTTGCAATTTACAAATTCAACAACAAAAAAACACTTCAAAAGCTTGATGTTAGGCAATCAGGCAGGACCAAAAGTACCTCTTTGACCTTCCCAAGTATATTCAGGTCCTTTGAACACCAAAAAAGACGCACTGCTGAGTTTCGGATGAACAAAAACTCAGCCACCTCAACCACCTCGACCTGACGATCGTCCGTCGCTGCAAAAAGCAAGAAAGGCTCTGGCTGCCAGCGTAAACTCAAAGCTGGAAAGTACAAAACACTCCCTTCAGAACTCCTGGCTCAACTCCCTAAACCTATTTTGGCAAAGCCCATAACCCAGCCAGCCGCCAGCCCTTGGTCAGCTTTGTCTCTTCCGTCCTCCGTCTCTCCTGGTGTCTCGCTTCTTCAGTCGAGTCTCGTCTCGTCTCGTCGTCGTCTCCGTGTCTTTCGACGACGACCGACGTGTCTGTCGACGCCCGCGTGTCGTACCGCGTCGTCGTCGGGTCACATGGTGAGGAGTACCTCTTGGAATTCACTGGAGCGGATTCCCGCCAATGCAATGGACCTCACGACGCGAACTGCAGAGGTTGAGTTGAGGCGCGGTGATGTTCGAGACATCCGGAGGCTTCCGCAAGCTTCGTTTGGAGGCGCAGCCATGTTGGTTGGGTGGGTTTGCTTCAGCTGGGTGGGGTGTGGGTGGGTTTGGTGTGGGTTTGCATCATCACTCTGACTCTGCAAAAACGAAACATCCGGTGAACTTGATGCTGCATCCATCTCGGAATAGAATCTAAAACTTGGCACGCTGGATGCTACATGATTCGTTCGAATGCTTTTGAATATTCTCACGTAAACCCATTGGTGCTTGATGATGCTTGATGCGTTTGACGGCTTTTTCTTCCTGGTTTTGATGCGTTAGGGTCAAGCCATGTACTTTCAACACCTGGGAAATTCCAACCAGAAGCCTGGTTCACCTTGATGATACAAACCCACTAGAACGGATTGCCCCCCATGGAGTTACTCATGTCTCCATCCCAAACGTGAAAGAGACGTTACAACCATTGGGACGACTCGGCTCGCCGCGTGGCGGGACCAACTCCGTGCCGGATGGGTCCACTGGCGACGACACCAAAACCCGATGTGGAACGACTCGTCCGTCCTTCCGTCGGCGAAGTCATTCAGTTGGAACGACTCTTTTTGTGCTCCAACAAAAACACTCCAATGGCAACTTGCATCTGGGTGCGAATTTTGGGGTGGTTAAAGGTTTCCATGTAGGTCAGAGAGGTCGGGCAAGCAGTCACGAGTCCCCTTCATTTCTGCTGATGTATCTCTATGCATCTCAGCCTACGTCAGCCTTTGTCACTCGTTGTGCCGGGCTGAAGGAGGACGGGCTCGTTGTGCCTCGTCCGGATCACGGAAGGGGCATGTGCTAACGGTACCTGTCCCGGGGGCTGTGCCCCCTTGCTGGTTGGTTCCGGAACCAGTTGAAGGAAGTGCAACCAACCAGTGTTGTTATGTTTTGTGGTTCATGTGATTTAGGAGGTTAAGTGACTGGTGCAAAATTTATTGAACATGATCACCAAGTCACAACGGCCAAAACTGTTTCAGCATGACCACAGGTTTTTGGCCAATTGCGTGCATTCCATATGGGTGTGTGTTTGAATAGGGAGACTATCTGGCCCAATGGGCGTTCGTCTATCTTCACCTTCCAAGGGCGTCCCTGGGAGTCTCCCTATTCCCACACTCTATGGCTGCGAGCCAAAACCGGAAGCCGCAAAGCCTGGTGACCTCCCTGGTAGTCTATCCTATGGTTTTGACACAGCCCTCCAAATGCGTGTCGCTTGGCGCGAAGAGCTTCGTGGTGAAGTCCATGGTGGTGAAAAAGATCCTCGGAGCCGAGCTCGAGTGGTCGAGTGGTCTTGAATGGTGGGCTCTGAAACCAGGATGGTTCCCCGGTTTACGGGAGTGTAGCACGATGATGGAAGAACCCGGAAGTGCTTCCCGGTTTCCACCAGGATGGTTCCCGGTTTACGGTTTAAGTCACGACAACCTTTTGGAAGAAGCATTCTACTCTCCCTGAAAATCATGGTTAAGTGGAGCACCTCCAGCTCCCGCGAGCGAAAAAAGAGAAAACGTCGCGGACTAAGACTCCACCCCACACGGGAGTGGAGAAGCAAGGGACCCGGAAGCCCAGTGGAGTCTGAGTGGATGGTTGCTATTCAATAGAATCCATCCATCCAAGTTGCCATGTGTCTCCAGTGGAATTCAACAGAAAGAAACTGCAAATCACTTATGTCAATGTCAATCGTGAAGAACTAAATATATAAGTTCCAGGAACAAACTACGGGTTGACACTTGACGATATGTCTTCTAGTATCTTCTAGTACCATCTGCATAATAATAGGCACAAGGAGCAAACTGATATAATAGATCAATAGATCGAGGTTGGGCAATCAAAACTGAAGACCTCAGTGACCTCAGTCCCTTTTCTTTCGGACATGTCCCACTTTCATTCTCTGTTCGGATGGCAGCCACCCAGAACATCCATGTATGAAATAGTTAGATGTCATGGAGTCATGTCTCTCATGGGGTTAATGTAACTTATTCCAGTCTTATGGACCTTGCGCAAGGATGTGTTTTTCAACCACACACCACACACCTCCGATCCCTCCGACCGCGATCTCTGTCCGTCCCGTCCGTCGTCCGTCCCGAACCAAGCGGCCGCTCGTTCCGGCAGCTGACGGCGCCGTGCAGCCGCGCGAGGTAGACCTGGCGGCGGAGCGGAGCCACTCTCGGGGCCGTTTCTCTCAAAGAAGAGTTAAGCGTTTTGTTCATCTGTTCATACCCTTTTTTGTGGTTTCCCAGTTCATCCTCCAAACAGGTTAAAGGCTGTACCTTTCCTGGACGGCAGAGTTCGGACCGATTTGGAGACACCGGGGGCATTGTCATCGCCCGGAAGCGGGATGGAAGCGAGCAGGAGGGGTTGGGTGAGTGTTTGTTGTTGGGGTTTGGAAGAGGAAAGAAAAAGAGATGTGGGTGCTTTTAGAAGTCCATCAAGGACGTGGAAGTGGGGTCAAATGCAACTTGGCTGAAAAGAGTCGAGTCTGAGCAGTTTTGATTGCTTTAGGTTAGTGGGCGTTGGAGGCGGTTCTTGCAGTGGATGCATTGGGGCTTTCTGGGTAGGAAGTGTGGATTGTTTGAGTGAACAATGGCAACAGAAGTGCCCAACTATGGCAGTTGCTCTCTAAGCACTTTCTCTCCTGGAAGTTAGCTCTACTTTGGTATGGGATTCCCAGAAATTGCCTCAATTTCAAGGAGTTTAAATACATCTGCTCAATGCTGAAATTCCATGGTGTGGCAGCAAGGCGCTTCAACTACAACCTGTCATGCAACAATAGCCTCTCTGGAAAATGATGTTCTTCCACCAAACAAGTGGTGACTGGTGACACGCAATTCACGTGAATAAGTCGCGGTGCTTTCGATACTCCTACGGGGTTCTCCACACACCCGAATACCAAGCCATTATATTCAGAAGTCTCAAACTTTGTTGGCTCTTCAGCTGCCATCCTGATAATCGATTCCCCTTCTACCCTAAGTAAAACCAAACCCATCAACATCCATCAAATCTGCCCTGAACAGCCCGGACTACTCCAAGTTGGTGACTCAGTCAAGCTACTAAGCTGCTGAGCCAATGTTTTTTTGGAACCTCAAAAGAACCCACGATGATATGTCCACGTCTCCGGTTATCCATGATTCGTGACGAACACCAACATCTGCAAGCAAGACCTCTGCAGGTACCTAGTATATAATGACCTAGCCGTAGCCTATAATTCTTAGCCTATAACTCCAAAGACTGCGGCAGCCAAAGTCATAAATGAAAGGAGACAACTCCGGTCCTTCTTTCAAGAAGCCACTCTTCGCACCATTGGTGCGGGCAGAGTGCCAAGTCACTGCTCCATAGATTCCGAAGACAATGATCAAAGCGAAGGACAGCAATGGCCTCCTTAGATTTGGCGCGAGGCACCGCACGGCTGCTCCAAATGAAATCCCTGAGGCCGAAAGCAACTATCCCAGTCCCAATCCCTACATCCCTTATAGGGCTGCAAGTACCTTCTCAGAAGGTATTTGGACCCTCTAAATCCACCCCGAAGGTACGACTGGAGCTCTAGGGCCTATAGGGCATGGGCGTGTATGATCAACCGACTACTCTCAGGCCGAACAAACTGCAATCAACAAACTTACATATTCACTCGGAACCACTTGGGTGTGTATCCTCAATCCAGGAGACCCCCCAGGCCTCGCCACTGACGACCAAAGAGACTGGATGAGACGTCACTTCTCTTCGGGGTCGCCTATATAATGGATTGACCGTGATGGTCGCCTGGTTGACCAAAGACACCATCGGGGCTGACGGAACGCTGTTGGCTTCCAAGCCGAGGCTTCCGCCGTGGCACGTCCGCTCGGCTGGAAGAGAATTCTCAAGACTCATGGCCAGCTGTCAGGGGTGTTTAGACTCTAGACTTCTCGCCCTATATGAGGCCGTCAGATCCGGCTCCAGGCCTGTCGTAAGCACCATGCGTGGATTGCATACCGACCCAAATGATCCATTGGATACCGACCCAGCCACCTGGCCAAGTCTCCCGCAAATATGCCCGTCTTCTTGCTGCTTCCGCCAGCGGAAGACCCACTGGCACATGGTCCAGGAGGCACGAAAGTACATGAGAAAAGACACGACCACCATCACCTGGGCAGCGTTTCGGGCGGCGGAATTCTGTCCAAAAAGTGGAGCGGGGAATGGGGGGGAAGGATCCCACCAGGATTCATCGAGAATTGAGTAGTCTCGGTACATCTCATACGTACGACTATAATGATGCCCAAACAAAAAATAGTAATTGAAAGGGATGACGGGAGTGTACTGAAGAGTTATGACTGTAGTAACTCTAGGCCCAGCACAGATTGGAGAATGACTTGTTGTGGAACTTTTGTATGGCAAGTACACGTACATCATTCCTTGCCGAACAGCTGCGGGTTGTCATCGTCACACCCACACCAGGTATAGGAACTCGAATAATCTATGAACATCACCCGTCATCCCTGGGGGACAGTCCAGCAACCAATAATTAAACGGTTTCCGCAGAAGTAACATACTGTAAACCGCTTGTGGATCCTGTGCGTAGATCTGAGCAGAAGCCCCAATAGATCGAGAATAGTACGGGTAAATACGTGAAATTGTTTTCGGACATCACCGCCATCACCACTGCCGCTGCCATACGCGGCAGGCTCTGTGCAAGTGGTGGAGAAGAGGATACATCGGATGGCCGCACGGGTGTGTTGAAACCGAAACCCACGCGTTGGAGACTCGATTTGTGAAGTACTTCGACTTCGACGTGTTTGATCCTGTTTCAACTTGCTGATATTTTGGAGCACCTAGTATATATCCGTCGAATCCGAAATGCTAAGAAAGTAAGTGGAACTGCTTGGCGATTGGGCACCTTGAGTTCTGAATCTCAGGCATTCTCAGGCTGCCATGGGGCCCTCTACTGTGTTCTGTGCCCAAATCTCATGGTCTTGGAATCCACCAGAGCTGGTGGATGGTGGATTTCTGCCTCCTTCTCGAGAAACCCCGTACTGTCGGCCAGGTCACATAGCGAAGGGGCGCGTTGGAGATGAAATGGGCGACCCAAGCCTGAAGGAGGAACTGGTGATGCTGGTGAGGTGCTCGAAAGTCATGGAAAGTCATCATGGGAGGTACCAAAAGCGAAGCCTGGTGGATGCTTTATGAAACCAGAAGGGATTTAGTCCCAGGAATGCTTCCAGATCGTCGGCCATCATCTACTATCCATTTGGGGGGGCACCCAATCTGGAGAAACAAACAATTGTGGTTGTTTGAAGAAGACATCGTTCTCCCCTATGGGCATGAGTCTTTCGATGCGTTTCACAAGAACATCCAGAACTGCAGGGTGCCTTGTGTGTGTTTAAGGTTTGAACTGGTAATGCGTGTTAATGTTTTAAGTTTTCATATCAGCGTTGTGAAATGAAAGCGGGTACCTTCAGCAAACCACTTACATGGGTTCAACTCACGTTTGACGTTTTACTCAAAAGCTCACATTCGTTCGTCCCCAAAGAACAGCCAAGCTGCGAAGACGATGTACACATTGGTCACAACCTGAGTCCACTGTGTTCAGTAGAAACCCTTCCTCCTCCTCCTCCCCCCCCTCCTCCTCCGCCACTCCTCCTCATCCCTTTTGTCACATGGGCCAAATGGTGCAGAATGCACTTCACTGATTCCATGTGTCGCATGTTTTTTGTGTTTCATGTCAGCAAGCTGGTTGGTTTCACATAACAAAAAGAAAAGTTGGTCATTACTCAGGTAAAGGCAAAAAGCATAAACAAATTACTAGTACTTTGAAACTAAGAACATCTAAGAACCACTCATCGAGGTCAGGGTATGTTATGCGGTAACCAAGCACGAGCTTTTTGGTGAATATGTTCACCATGAGCAAACAACACACAAGCTTCTTTGATGTCTGTCCCCCTGGAACGGACCTACATGATACTATAACCTTAGCTCTTGGCCACCAGAACGGTCTCTTTTCCGGCCCCCAACTCCCACGACCGCTGCCGACCCCTTGACCTACGAATCCGCCGCCGAGGAGCCAAGGGCTCGGCGACCTCCCGCGGCGGCCGTTGGAGGCAGCAGCTCCCCGCGAGGATCAGCAAGATCGGCACCTGGGTGCGGCGCGTGCGAACGCCCCGGGAAGTGCGTGCGAACGCGCCGTGCGATCGCACGCCGGTCCCAAGGAGGGTACCGACGTTCTCGGTGGGATGGTATGGGGGGGGATGGTGGACCAGGGGGTGGAGATGTTGGGAGAATCAAGGAGATCAAAGGCTGCTTTGGGGAGAGAAACGGCTGCTGTCATGACCTGATTTCAGGAGTTTGTTCTATATACATTATACTACCCCCCCAGGTGAGTGGGGAGTTGTGCCGAGATCAGTTGTTTGTTGCACAAGTCCTGGCACATGTGTCTGCGAAATGTTTGAATCCTGAAACCATTCAAACAGCACATGAGATAGGAGTTATACTGCTTAAAACATGTTTTTTTTGGGGGGAGTGCCCCGAATTCACGTCTCACCAGTGTACCCCCTTGGAATACATCATTTCAAAGAGATAGGCTCAGCTACCCTCTGGTGTTCTTGATGTTGATGGTAGATGCATGATGAGATGGGAGGTGTGGACACACTTGGAAACACATGAGATGGAACTTTGAAATTTGCACAGTCATTTCACAAGTCCCAAACCACTAGTGGATAGTATATTTGTTTTGATTGTTGGACAGGTGCTTTTTTGAGGGGTCAGCGCAAGAGTTCAGTACGGTCCATAAATTTGTTGGCAGATATGACCGTTCTGCATGGTATTTTCGTGGCAGAAAGGGCCTGCAAACTTTCCCTGCATACTGGGGCTGTCGAGTGTATCTATTCAAATCCTGCAATTTGTGGGGGTGGAGGCCGCCTGCAAGACTAAGGGTCATGGATGTGACAACGTTTTTGTCTGTATATCAAGTCTCTTGATGATGTTTGATTCATGCCTATGCTCTTCCATGGAGATGGCCCAATCTACCCTGTCACCGTATTACAATGATCTCAACAACAGCGGATGATTTGGGTTAAGCTACAGAGTAAAGGGCAAAGGTTATACAGCTATATTTTACCAGCAACAGTGCCTGATGATTGTTAGTAAAGGCCCGCCTCTAAAATACTGATAATTGTTTACTGATTGTTACAGGTTAATAGGACAAACCCAAGCTATATTGAGATGCAAGCCTTTGCAAAAAGTGGCCTGTTCCATAGGCCAGGTCACATTGATGAGCCATTCCGCATAGAAGACGCTGTAAACCGGCTGATGATCCAAATCTGGATGCCCCAAGTTGGAGGAATGCGCGAACCAGGGAGCCTCCCCGATGAGAAAAACGAGATTCTCCTCAGCTGCTTAGCTCGATCCTCCCGGCTATGCTGGGAAGGGATGAAGTCTTAAATGCAGCGCGCCGGGCTCGGAAGATGCCGACAATGGCATCTATGGCCGCCCAAGGAATTTGCGAGCGTATGCTAGTAGCGTCCAACATTTGGTTCTTTACTGGTCCAAAATACCGTTGGAATATGTCTCCCAGACCAAATTCAACCGACGAATATGTAGCCCTGAAAAGTCATCAACATCGACCCCGTATTCATGTGACATGGACCAATCTACACCAAAGGAACACCGTTTTTCCAGGTGCCAGAACCCACGGTCAGGGTGGAATTTCCCACCCCGAGTTACCTCTAAAAAGAGCTATAACTTATCGACACACCTCTTTTTTCAAGTCCGGTGAATGATTCTCTCGAAAAGCCCGGTCTCCTCGAATGCGTCTGGTGCTCCCAAGCACTTGAAGTCGCAAGTTCGAGTCGCTTGGCTCAAATCCGGGTGATCTACCACTTCACTTGGCAAAGATCTTCAGTCAATTGGTTCTTACCATGTTGGAAAATGTTAGAACACTCCAAAGCATACAGCTCAAAAAGAACTAAAGCGTGAAACATGATCAGACCTCGTCGAAAGCACATTGACATGTGGTGAAGACAGGTCCGAAGACTCATCCGACCGCCAAGTGGAAAGACACTTTGCAGGGGGTCCAAGATCCACTAATCTCTGCTTGGTCTCTTGCTCCATGTAAAAACCAGCGCGATAAAACACTCTCATTGGTCGGAGCTGCACCCGCGCGGGCAGAGTGAACTCAATGAATGTTTCAAGGCTAAAAAATGCCAAAAGAATGACTAACCATTGCCCGCTGGTCTGACTCCTTCAACTCCTTCAACAAGAGCCTTCTATACCCTGGCTCTTTGATACAACCCACAAAGACTTAAAGATTGAAACCGTATCCACGTATTTTCGGCCCTAGTGACCCAATGTTTAAACTCATCTCCAATTCATTGATCGTAATTAAGCCATTTGTTCTTTCACATCTGGGGGGCGGGGGAGGGGTGCCAAAACTCACGTATAATCTTGCCGAGGAGCAAGGATCAGTACCTGCAGTGGTCTCGCAGGAACCGGTTGTCTGCATGCCAAGGATGGGTTCCGTTGTTCTTTACATCGCTTTGTCCCCCACTGATCGTGGATTCCTCCGAAGGTCCAGGATCCGAAGTGGCTTTGCTTCATCAAACACGACCAGGTCGTCCACTCTGAAAAAAACACATGTCAATTGTTTGCAACAAGCCGCATAGCCTGTGGTTGGGTGGAAACTGAAGATTCAGTACATTCTCTTCTGGCTTGTTTAAATCAAAACAACGTAAGTATCGCGTCGATTGTTTTGAGCGGTAGTATTGGGGCAACAGGAAGTGCCTGGAGCCTTGTATTCAACAAATTTAGCATCATTGACGAAAACACCACAGTTGTGAAGAATACGCTGCATTCCAAGTAGACTGACAAAACCTGTTACACTTTTGCTCAGAGTGCCAACGCGGGTCGATTCCCATGAGCCCTACCGGAGTCCTACCTCGATTCACGCACCTCCAACCCAATCAGGTTCCTTAGGTTCCACATCATCTACAAGGTCAACAGCATCTTGATAGTCACATCAATGAGTACAATCCGTTTTGAAAAGTTGTAGTTTTCGTGTAACTAGTAAGTAGATGTAAGATGATGTAAGTAGTGGTGAAACAACAACAAACATAGACCACCGACCAAGCTACCAAAATATGGGCCAACTCAAGGCCCCAGGTTTTTGAAGCCGATGTTCCATGCCAATCTCTGCTGGCGTCTCCCAAAAAATAATCCACCAAGGGTGCAAAGAAGGTGACGCACAAGAGCACCGAAGGGATCAAGGACTCCTTGATGTTTGGAATCAAATGGATCGCCTTCCTGTGCGATTGACCACGGTCTGTAAATCGGCCCTTAACCCGAGACATCCCAGATGGGAAGCGCCCAGAGGTCGTACCGTTTCGACTGTCACAATGGTTGAGACGATGTTGACCTTCTCAAAGCGCTGTTTTCTGGCTTTCTTTACAAAAAGGAAACTTGCGAACCTGATTGAACCTGCAATTTGAAGACGTCACATGTGTGTTTATTCACAAAACTCTGATGAACAATGCCAATGCAAACAAATATGAATTCAGCAGACTCAGAAAATGCGGAAAAGCAACTATAAATGAACAAAACATGAAAAACAAACATGTGCTCCCATCCTGGATGATATTCTTGATACCTCCCATGCTTCTCATGGTGTTCATAGTTCCCATTTCACGTTTACTTCTGGTATTTCCTGAACTCAGGAGTTGCGCTTTGTTTAAGACATTATATATATAGTGTAATTAATATACATATAAACTATTCGTCCACCCCTTGGAAGGCCGCTGAGCATTTTGTCTGATCCTGGGCCACAGCACTCCAGCACGACAGTGGTGGCGACAGTGAAATTGAGTTTGGTCAGCTCTAGCTTTGTGCACCTGCAACTGGATGTAATCAATCATCGTAAGCCAGGTGGTGCTTGGACCAAGGACAACACCAGTTCTAGGGCAACTTCCTCTCTATCCCTAACAGCATCCAACACCCCAACACACCAACCACAACTCCATCAGTTTCCCGTGAAAAAAACGGTTAACCTCTTCCCATGATTAGTATTTACTGTAGTGGGGAAATCAATCCCAAACAAAGGGAGTATAAACACATATGTATATAATATATATATATATAAAGGTTCTGTACTTTTCCTGGGTAGGCCAACATAGGCCAACAGCAAGAACCACACCGGTCCCAGCTGCTTCGCAGAGTTGTGCGTCAAAACCACCGAAGCCAGCTCGTGCAGCAGCACCGACGCCAAGGCTGCCGCGATGTAGCCACTGTAGGACCGCAAGTCCTGCGGACCAAGCTCCGAGCCTGTCAACGTGAATGGGTGTCTATAGATTGGAGGCCATCGCTACTAGGTTGGAGGCCATTACTACTAGGAACAAGAAGCCACGAAGCTTCTATAGTAGCAAATTTCTATGAGGTTGGAGTGGGGAGGAGCCACCAAATTGGATACCAACTAAGCTCCATGGCGTTGGATCTCCGTCTCGGTGGGAAGGTGCCAGTTCCGGCGGGCCCCTGTCACATCACATGGCCCCTGGATGGAACTAAACACAAACCATTCCGTTGGAACTTCTGGTAAGTACCTGTCCTGAGAGGCTCGTGTACCATTTTCCGACTTTGGGTCCTAGAGTCCTAGGGGTACTATACCAATTGTCTGATGCGGAAAACAGACCTTATCACTCAATGAGATTGTCAATCCCTCATCTCAAAATAATCCATGTGTGCAACTGTCACAAGATTCCAGACTTTTTAGGATGACAACTCTCACGTGTGGCGCAAAAAAACACCGAACAGTGCCAAGTGCCACGTCTGCTTGCTGCATTGTTGTTTAGAACAAGTTGGCTACATCTAAACATGTCGTATCATTTCATAACACATTGTTCTCAGAAGTTCAAGTTATGAGATATATTGATGGTGCCCAACCCAACCAGCCCTTCATCCCGAAGGCGTCACGTCCTGGATTTGCTCATGGTTTTGCCGGCACAGCGTATCCTCATTACCTCGCGGCATGACGCGACCGCGACGACCGCGACCGGTGGGCGTATTCCCTTAGGAACCCTCTTTTCACCCGGCTGGACCCATTTCCTTAGGGATCCGTTTTCGTACCGAACCTCAGCTACGGTGAGGACGGAGATACTGCTCAGCTGCCAGGGTCGGGTCCATCGCCTATGTCACGTGCCGTCGGGTCGGGTCCAGTCGTATCGAACCGGTTCGGTACGACAAAAAATCCCGTGTTCCAAAGGCATCCGTGCTTGGTGCAGTCTCATTGACCCAATTTGAATGGGAAAACCCAATCTTGATGGGACTGGAATAGTGACATACATGGATGGGTCATGTTCCTGTGATGAATGACATGGGTAAATGACATGGGTATGTCACCCTGTGTGTCTAAAAATGCAGATTCCTTCCGTTGCCGCATGCATCTCTTGATGTCACGATTTGACTATAGTCACTATAGTCTTTATGGTCCCATTGAAAGAAGCAAAAAACAATTACCGCAAGCTCGAAACAAAAAGGCAGCAAGAAGCTTTTGGAAATATTAAAGCCCTGCAAAGCGGAAACATCGCAGCAAAAGGTTGCAGCAAAATACCAGGGTTATCCAGGAATGATCAGCCCTCAGCCCTGTTACCTTTATTTCAGCTTTGTTTCTTGTCAAAGAGTCGCCATGGACGTGTTACTGGCTGGTTGGTGGTTTCAACTCACTTGAACAATATTACAGTAGTCAATCGGTTGAATCATCCCAAGTATACTCCCAAAATCTCCCAAAAACTAACATGGACCCTGACAATTGACAATGGGCCCTGAAGATTGTTTTCCTCTACCAACGGTTTTGCGGTTCCATGTAAATTAATCTGCAGGGGAGTAAAGGTTGATGGCAAGGATCGTTTGACTGGCTTGGTGCCTGGACTTGGAGAGAGATGAGAATTCAACAGGATATCTGACGCTGGCTGTGTACTCATGCAATACCTCTTTCAGGAAAATTTGGCAAGTCATGATGTCATATAGCACTGACTCGCCATGTTTCCCATTTCACACATTGCTGCAGCTTGCTCCACAGAATCTCAAAAACCAGGTGCAGCTCGAAAGAAAGACGGCTTTGAGCATTGGCTTTGGACACCTTATCTTTGGGGGGGTCTCCCAGCATGCCCGGACAATTGCTGCGTGATTCACAAGGCATTGGCTGCGCAATGGCATAGCAAATGCTCACCTTGGGCAAAGGGCAGTTTTTGGGTGGTGCGGATGATGAGTTTACATGGGCAGTGAAAAATGTGCCGAGAATGTGGTTGAGAAATGTCATCGAGTAGATAGAATTATAAACAGCGGTCATATAATATGCACGTCCAAAGTAGTTGAATCGCCCCTCTTGTGCAGCCGTTCATGTATGAACACAAAAACAAAACAACTTCATATCCAAGTGGCTGTGAGGAGAGTAATCAGAACCCAGGTCAACTTCATTTCCAAGAGCTTCACCAGGATCCCCATGAGCACATCATGCCTTCTGGCCCGAAACTCCTGGCCTCACCAGCGGGGATCGTGGCCAGAGATGAGGGAGCTAATCAGTTGACGTTCAATTGCCATGATCGCCACATCAATGAAAGTCTGTCAACATCAACTGGTTGATATTAGTTGATTCCGGTGTTGATTCTGGTTGCCGCCGCATCTTCCGACGACGCGCTTTAAACAAAATGAATCATCAAGTTGGCCCGGGGTGACTTTTGAGTCGCCGGTCACGGATGACACGCGAATGATTTGGATCTTCGTCCACTCAGCTCCAGCTTCAACGCTACGCACAGAGTCAGCTCTTCAGCTTGCTGAGGGCGTTTCAACCCACCCGCTGAGTCACTCAGCTGCGCCCGCCCGGTCACTCCTAACCGTTTGGTCCCCAAAACCGGTAAGCATAGCATGTTTCTGGCGGCCGAAAGCGGCCAAATAGCTAGGCCAGGCCTCCACATGGTCCAACAAAAGCGTTTCCCATGTCCGACTCACGTCGGATTTTGCATCCCCAAGTCCCTTCACAAAGCAGTGAAAATAGCCACACAACTCCGTTTTACTCCACACACAAACAAGAAGAAAACACATGTCCATCCAACTTCTGCACCCCTTTGTTCGGCCCCTCAAAGTAAAAACACACACACCGCACGACACCGCATACATCGCTTTCCTCCGTAACTCCTCCCTGGGTGCTCACCGATCACAACCGGCCTGGCGCGCTGGGTCGTGTCTCGGGGACCTGCTGCGGACTCCGTGCCGTCTGCCTGACACCATCGCCCAAGTCCAGCGTCACATCCGGTGAGAGACTCGTCATGAGGCGCCGCTGTTCGCTACGGAAACGCCCGGAGCGATGCGGCTGCGCGGCGTGAGGGGGGTGGGGTGGGGCGGATGGCGGATGGCGGATGGTATAGCAGGACGTCAATACCTAAGAAAGCAATAGCAATGCAATAGCAATAACCTAAAAATCGAACAGTGAGCGAGGATCAAAGCTTATAATTAATTATATATACCTTTCAGAGGATGCATCTCCACCTTAAGCTGCCTCCTGACCCGGTTGGACTGCCAACTGGAGCCCTCCCATGGGCTTGGAATGGCTTCTTTCTGACCACCCCTCCCATGCCCAGTCTATACACTTCATGCCAGGCCCGAGCCTCCGGAAAGATGAGGGCATGTATGAGTTTGTAGATGGTGCCGAACTTAAGGTGTACAGAAATCACTGAAATCTCATTGAGAAACCATCCACGCTTAGTGAGCTTGGCCAGCCAGAAGCGACAGGAGGTTTGCTTTTGTATGGGCTGCACAAGGGGTGCTCTTGGGTATTCTTGCAGCTGCAGCTTGAAGAAACCTCTCAAACCAACATCAGAAGCTTCCAGGAGACTCTGTGCTTTGAGGGTAGGTGTTTTAGGAATGTAACAATAAATACATAAATCGCGTGCAAGTGAGAGAAACATAGAGAAACAATATCCAGCTCTAAGCCGATGAAAACTGCTCCTGACCAACCCTTGTTGGAGCCAAATCTGGAGGTCAATGACCAAACATCGCGTCTTGGAATGAACACACACATTTAGATGTGTGCGAGTGCACATCAGGCACCACCGTGGAAGGTTGTAATCCCATGTAATCCCCACTAAACTAACCATCCATACGGGGTTTTGGTCGTAGCTCAACTCGTCCATCATCAGCTTCACCCTCTCCATCTGGGCCCAGCCGCTCTGCCACGGCGCTGCCACTTTTGCCCAAGATCTGCACATGAGCCCGGCTTCGTGTTTAGCAGAACACAAATCAAGTCAGCCCCAGTACAACACATGCATGACCAGGAAATTGTTGGCGAACTTTGCTATTGTTAGATGCGAAAATACCCAAAGAACACCTGGTGATTCATTACTGCTAACATAGCATGTACATCCATCCATCCTCTTCAATCGGACATCTGATCTTCATTTTCGCACAACGACTTCATCTTCATCACCCGAACGACGACCGGAACGTCACTCCACCGACCGTCTCCGACGAACGTCGAAAAACCGACCGGAAAAACGTCGACTCTGCTCTTCCTCACTTCGAAGGATCTTCATCATTGGAAGACCCGGATCCTCTTCATGGCATTCCAATCAAACGACATCCACTTCAGTCGAGCTGGCCGCCACAACGGTGGCTTTGGCCTCTAGTACCGATTCCCGAACCTGAAAAATGAAATCCACATGAAATCACATGAGAAACAAACACCTCCTGTTCAATTCCAACACCCTGCGAAAGTTTGGTTTAAGCCTTCTTCCCCAGAACAAATGAGGTATATACCCTAGGGCTCCTGGCCCACCTCCGTTTCGGTTCGGTGGTATTCGGGTGGGATTTTGGAGGGGTCGAATACCACCGAACCTGAGGAGATGGGACAGGAGCCCAAACGGGATATGTATGCCAAAACGCTGGTGCCACAGATACCGATCCAGTGGACTGGAGCAACCGTTCCAACACCTGTTCCTCGAGACAGGCGAGATGGACACGTCTTCCAACACGCGTTCTTTCTCTTCACCGCTGCAGCGGCCGAAGTATCGGCACAGAAGTCTCTTGCTTGAACACAGAGTTCGATGTCTCGTCAAAACCTGTTGTTTTGGGCGATCTTTTTCCTCCGGCTCTCCTGGGCAGCAGTTCTTTCACCTCCGTGTATATTGTTCTTGACAATGCTTCGTTGGTTCGCGATCCCTTCAGATCCCTTGCCTCTCCTCCGCGGGTAACACCCGAAATCTCCACCGCCGGATCCGACACCCGCGCCGCACCTCGACGAGTTCGGCCCGCGGAGACAGGGACTCCTCTGGCCTCGGATGGAGGGCGGAGCGGCGGAGCGGGAAGTGACCGGTACGGATGGGAGACACCAAACACCAATTTTGTTTGAATCCAATCCGAGATTGGAAAAATAGATGTCAAGGCATTGAATTGGCATATTTCAAAATGGTTCAAACATATATTATGTCGGTCCATAATCATGAATTGAACGGAATTGAGGTGAAACCGATGGTAACACCGGTACAAGCAATACGATCCAATGACTATTATCATGGATCACATTAGATTATAATGTATCATTGCCTATCGAAGCTATCGTGTCCGTTTGAGGGTCGTCTTTTTCCAAAAAACAACAACAACAAGAACAACCAACGACCAACAAAAGCCTCCAATGCTTCGTCGTGATCCTCTGATCCCTCTATGCCGGTGGTCTAAGAGTTCCGCGTTCCGTTGTGGAATCGAAAGAACATCACCGCCAGGGTCCGCTGTTTCAAGAGGAAAGAACATCACCGTTTCGGATGAAAGACCAACTTCCGTAGAACAATCAGAAGGGGTGCTCTAAAACATCACCATGTCATATACAATATATATGAGCACAGCCTGTAACAAGCATGGATTGCAGTTTATCTTCTCAAATATAAAGCCTGGTCAGGTGTGTGCAATTCTCAATGAAACGATCTCTTTGATCACTCAATCTGTTTTTGAGGATAACCTTGCATTGAAGCAAAACCACTGGGGTCATCTTGGCCAAAGTCGCAAGCAAAACAAGCCCGACGGCCGACAGGGCTGAACGGAGGATGTCTGCGCCATGTGGCCAGTCTTTCAACTTCACCACCTCAGTCGCGAGGAATTGCTGACCCCTCCGGAGCGCATGCCGACAGGGCAGCATGGCGCAGCAACCGCCAACCCGAAGCAGCCCAGCCTTCGACCAGTCGAAGGCCTAAACCAACCGTGTTCGGGACCGGCCCGTACGGCGGTCCGATGTCGTTAGGAGTCGACCATGACCGGTGTTGGTTGGAGATGCGACGCAAGTGACTTGGCGTGTAGAAACACCAAGTGATTGGCAGAAACACATCTCATCTCACACCCTGGGTGTAGCTTTTGGGACTCGAACTCTGTTTCGCAGTGTGCAGAAAGAAAGAGATCCCGGATCGCATCGATCACTCTCCTCCAAACAACCACTTCAACTTTAAAGCATGCCCCAGCTCCCAAATATTGCAAACTACCACCACCTGGTACTCCATGAAATACTCACCGTGGCATCTATGACTTCAAGGAACTTCCTATAGCAAACCTTCCAAAGTGGTCGTTTATGGAGGAATATATCGGCATTCTCAATTCTCACCAACTTCTGGCGTCTAAAGGCTACCCATGGTCACACAAAGCAGCCAGGGCACACAAAGCAGCCCTTTCGGCGCCTCCTGACACGTTTACAAGCCCAGTCCGCCAGAGTGCTCGGGACTTCCCTTGACATCCTCTCAATGGATTGAACATCGGAGGTAATATGCGGGAACATCCTCAAAGCAACATATATGAGACCATCTATTAAGCCGTCCATCTAGGAAGCCATTTCAGAATCTTGTCAGCCGCATCATCTATGACGTATGTCCCAACATGTCTGTTGATTGGAACATGTGTAGTAACTAGGTCATACATGTCATATAGCATTATGTCACATCATGTCCGACATATTGTGTTGGGTCTATTGGCCCAGTGGATGATGGGGCCTGGTCGGCCGACCTCTCCCAAAAGTGATGTACGTTCTTGTTTAACGCAGTCCTGCTCTACAGGTCAGAACGGACAGACCCGACCCATCCTGCGCACGGTCGCCGTGCGCACGCGCAGGTCGGCGTCCTTCAACGCTTCCGAGACCGCGGAACGGGAGAGGCCTAGGTGTGGAGAGAGAAGACACCGGGGGTGTCTAAACATCAAACTGACTGTCTGACGGCCACAGGTCTTGAAAAGGACCTTAAGTCAACTGCATATACCTAGAAGATCCTTTGGGCAGAAATTCTTGCCTTTTTCGGGAAGAGCGGCTCTTCCCGTCCTGGGGCGGAAATCAGCTGTTTGCCGCGGAAATGTTTTTGTTGCCGCGAATATTCCCTTTAAGGAATCCAGTGAGACAAAGACTACATATTATCTGGAGGAGTTGAATATTTTTGTGGTTTATGTTACATTGGGCATTTCTGCCTGGAACGGTCACCGCAATGAGAAAAACAACTTGCAGCGCTTAAGTTTCCACCTCCACCTGCAAATCTGGCTACCATCATATCATATATGTGTCTGTGTTTTTGAGGAAAAAGGCAGAAATACCCGGGAAAGAGGCGGAAATACCCGGGAAAACGGCGGAAATACCCGGGAAACTGGTGGAAATTTCCTGGTAGAAGGCGGGATTCAAGAACAGTGCCTTTGATTGATGCCTTTGAAGGGCTTGAACATATGTCGCAGCCTCTTTGTGTCATGAATTTAGAAGTGTCAAAATCGTAGGGTGTCAGATCTTGAGATGTGAAGCTGTCCTTGCAGAACGATATGTGGTCTGCAATCATCGAAGAGACAGCCTGGTTGGTCTTAGGCAGTGGTAATGGTTTCTGAGTTGCTATGTTGGATTTTGCTTGAGGCAAAATTCCTTGCTGCCCGCAGAAATTCCTACCTGGCACGGATTTCCCCTAAATCCGCGAATCCTCCCGGGCAAATCGGACTGAGGCAGAAATGTCTGCCCCAGGTGCTTCTAGGTTGGTCAATTAAACACCAGACTTATTGAACAACAACAAAGGCTCTAAGCTGCTTAAGGAAGGAAAAGCGTAGAATCCCAAAACTGCAACTTTGCCGTTGTGGTATACAGGGGGATAGAAAAAGGGCAACATCCAAGTCAAAATAGCGAATGTATGATCAATCTGACTGCGTGACCATGGTTGACATCAACATGTCAACATGCACAAACTTGTGCAGCAACCATGATTAGGGGGCTTCTCATACTGACCCACTCCCATTTAAGGTATCTATATCTTGATCTCCACTTGTCACTTAGTAGCGGTCCTTTCTTTCCCAGAACTTCCCGTGACTCATTTTACCCCACC